GGTTAAGCAGGGCTCAATCTTGTTTCGGAGCACTGCCACAGGAGGCTGCAGGCCCTTCAGCTTCTGCAACTGAGAGAACGTGTGCATTAGACAACCAGGGTCTGCCCTGAGGCGTCAGCAACTTCATGGAAATGAAGAAAATACAGATTTCAATGTAAACACCAGGGTATATATGCTTACTTAAACAAACAAACAAACAAAAAACCAAAAACCACCACTACTAAAAGGAAGACTGTTTATTATCCGAAAAACAAGGAACAATTTCTCAGAAGCAACAATCCATTCGATTGTTTCTAAAAGGATGTCTTCAGGTAAAGTCCCCCATCTAAGGAGTTTCCCTTCTAATCTCAGTTCTGGAGGGAGGAAGAAGGATTTAAACAATAAACAGTTTTTCTCTCTTTTTATTTTACTTTTTTAAGGGCCTGTAATACCTGCTGGAGATCAGAGATTCCGTCAGCTCTCAAAGGATCAGGATTTAAAAACTGCAGTAATCTGTAAGATAGTTAAAAGAAGAATGTGAAGAAAAAGGTATTTGTTTCCTCAGTTGAGCTATTCTTTTAGTTCTTCCTTGATAAGAGATAGCAGGCACTGCACAGCCCACGCTCAGCTATACAACCGCTGCCTGTTCTGTTCTGCTTGGTTTATGAGGCACGAGGGCCTGTACCTGTGCTGCCACAACCTTGCCACCCAGGTCCCCGTGAGAGTATCTGAGGGGCCCCAGCCGAGCTCAGGAGCCACTAGTGTACTTTACTATCTTTATTTTATGGATCAGAAAACAAGACCAGATAGGACTTGTCCACAATCACCTCTGCTGAGAGGAGAAGAAATCTGAAATTGCTTTCCTCTAAATCCAGCCCAACCCCAATGTGGGTAAGGTCAGTGGCAGTCACAGAGAAGTCACAAGCCACAGATGTCCGGGGACTCCAGGATAAAGATGGTGGGTTACACATATGGCAAACTGAACTCCTTCCTAAAGCACCATTCCTGTAAATGTATTTTTCTTTTCTTTTCTTTTTTTTGAGATGGAGTTTCGCTCTTGTTACTCAGGCTGGAGTACAGTGGCACAATCTCAGCTCACTGCAACCTCCGCCTCCCAGGTTCAAGAGATTCTCCTGCCTCAGCCTCCTGACTAGCTAGGATTACAGGCGTCCACCACCACACCCAGCTAATTTCTGTATTTTTAGTAGAGACAGGGTTTCACCATGTTGGCCAGGCTAGTCTTGAACTCCTGACCTCAGGTGACCCTCCTGCCTTGGCTTCCCAAAGTGTTGGGATTACAGGTGTGAGCCACTGCGCCTGGCCCTATAAATGGACTTTTAAATGCAAAAGCCACAAGACCCAACTGTCGTCAGCTGATGAATGGGTACATGAAATATATTCCATGCACGCAATGGAATAT